GCGAATCAATTTCACTCTCTCTCAACCCACTTCAGTCAGGCTCTCTTCCCCAGCCCTCTCCAGAAACCGCCTTTCTCATCATCAGTGGGGCGCCCTCCCTCACATGTCAGATCAGAGGGTTTCTTTTTTTTTTCTTTTTTCCTTTTTAAGAGACAGGGTCTAACCCTGTCACCTCAGCTGGAGTGCAGTGGCCTGATCACAGCTCCCTGCAGGCTCCAACTCCTGGGCTCAAGGGATCCTCCTGCCTCTGCTTCTCAAGGAGCTGGGACTGCAGGCATGCGCACCACTGTGCCCAGCTGATTTTTTTTTTTTTTTTTTTTTTTTTTTTTTGAGACAGAGTCTCACTCTGTTTCCCGGGCTAAAGTGCCGTGGCATCAGCCTAGCTCACAGCAACCTCAAACTCCTGGGCTTAAGCGATCCTCCTGCCTCAGCCTCCTGAGTAGCTGGGACTACAGGCAAGTGCCACCATGCCCGGCTAATTTTTTCCATATATTTTTAGTTGGCCAATTAATTTCTTTCTATTTTTAGTAGAGACGGGTCTCACTCTTGCTCAGGCTGGTTTTGAACTCCTGAGCTTGAGCGATCCTCCCACCTCGGCCTCCCAGAGTGCTAGGGTTATAGGCATGAGCCACTGCACCTGGCTGGCCCAGGAACTTTCTTCAGCTTTCTTATAGCTGTAAGTCTGCCAGTGATGCCCTCTTGGTAATCTTTAACCAGAAAATGTCTTTGTTTTGCCTTTATTCTGCTTTTATTTTTGTTAGTTTATTATGTTTTATCTACATACATTTATATATATAGATATATATGTATGTTACATATATATGGGTTGTTTTGGGGGTGTTTTTTTTTTTGTTGTTTGTTTTTTTGTTTTTTTTTGAGACAGAGTCTCACTTTGTTGCCCAGGCTAGAGTGAGTGCCGTGGCGTCAGCTTAGCTCACAGCAACCTCAAACTCCTGGACTCAAGCAATCCTTCTGCCTCAGCCTCCGAGTAGCTGGGACCACAGGCATGCGCCACCATGCCAGCTAATTTTTTCTATATATATAGTTTGCCATTATTTCTTTCTATTTATAGTAGAGACGGGTCTCGCTCTTGCTCAAGTTGGTTTCGAACTCCTGAGCTCAAACGATCCGCCCACCTCGGCCTCCCAGAGAGCTAGGATTACAGGCGTGAGCCACTGCGCCCAGCCGGGGGGTTGCTTTTTTTAAGAGACAGGGTCTCACTCTTTCACACAAGCTGGAGTACAGAGGCCCAATCATAGCTTACTTTAACTCTGAGTTCTTGGGCTCAAGCAGTCCTCCCACCTCAGCCTCCTGACTAGCTAGGACTACAGGGGGCATGCACCACCACATCCAGCTAATTTTTTTATGTTTTATAGAGACAGAGTCTAGCTATGTTGCCCAGGCTGGTCTTGAACTCCTGGCCTCATGCAGTCCTCCTGCCTAGGCCTCCTAAAGTGCTGGAATTATAAGCATGAGCCACTGCAACTGGCCTGGCATCTTTTTCATTCTTTATAAGCATATTTTCATATACGGGGTTTTTTTTGTTTGTTTTGGGGTTTTTTTTGTTTGTTTGTTTGAGACAGAGTCTCGCTTTGTTGCCCAGTCTAGAGTGAGTGCCATGGCATCAGTCTAGCTCACAGCAACCTCAAACTCCTGGGTTCAAGCAATCCTGCTGCCTCAGCTCCCAGTAGCTGGGATACAGGCATGCACCACCATGCCCGGCTAATTTATATATATATATATTATATTAGTTGGCCAATTAATTTGTTTCAATTTATAATAGAGACAGGGTCTTGCTCTTGCTCAGGCTGGTTTCAAACTCCTGACCTTGAGCAATCCGCCTGCCTCGTCCTGCCAGAGTGCTAGGATTACAGGCATGACCCACCGGGGCAGCCCATATACACCCATATATGTGTGTGTGTGTGTATAGAAAGTAGTTTGTATTATATACTGAGTATTATGAATGATATATTTTAGAATGTATGGTAGAAACTCTATATTCTTTTGTTTCTACAAAAGGTATTGATTTTTCATTTTAGAAGGCAGTCAGCTGGGCTGAACTCAAACTGCAAACTCAGACTCACCTGTGGTAGCTACAGCAAAAACCTCAGTAGATTTTAGCTTTAGCTGGGCCCCTTGACAGATCAGGGGTCGGCTGGAGATCTGTGCCACATTCATATACACAGTTTGGTGCTCCCCATCTCTGGCTTTCTTTGTGGGGACTGTTCTCCTTTCTGGCTGCTGTGGTTATCCCAAACTCTGAGCTCTGGTTCTTTCAATCTAATATGACTGCAAGAGTCCTTCCAAGTTTTAGCCAGCCCAGATGGTGCTGACTGAGACTTACTCTCAGGCTAAAAGCTGTTTAAAAAAAAAAAAATTCCAGGACACTTGCCAGTCTCGTTCCATCCGTCTAAGTTTCAGCCTCCTTCAGTGTTTGCTGCCTTGCAGCATCTCTTCCATACACTGAGCCACTGCGGCCTGTATGTGATCCAGAGTTTACAAGACTGGTCCAATAGGAGCTACGCAGCCATTCTGGAAGCAGAACCTCCGTAACTTGCTAACAAACTTATTTCAAACACATCAGTTAAAGATCGATTCTCTCCAGGACACCTGGAAGAGTGTCCATTCCCATCTTCTAGGGCCTCTGACACAATAGGGGTCATTTACTCTGGCAAAGCATTAGTTTGTTGTATTGACCTCTGACCTTAAGGTCACCAGGCAGTGGGACCATTCTTCTGTCACATATGTCAAATCCAGCAGCCAAACTTTAGGGAACCAACAAAGGGGAGTGGATTATGAGACAAGCAGACTTCTGGGCTCCTCTTCACTTGTGTTCTGCAGATCTGAGAGAGATTTTCCTGGGACTGACACCCCCGTTACCCTTCCTGGGAAACCCAACTCATCCTGGGTGTTCTGTGTTTCCCCCGCCCAGGTAAACAGGGCCAGTCAGACGTACTTCTTCCCCGTCCATCTGACGGATCAGCTTCTGCCCAGCGCGTGTTCTACGCCACCGTTGGGCCTCTCGTGGTCTACTTTGCTATGCACCGTCTGATCATCAAACCCTACCTCAGGGCTCAGAAAGAGAAGTGAGTTTATGGCGTGTCATGGGAATGTCAGTAAACCCTGTGCTTCAGTTTCCTCATCTTTAAAATGCACAATAATAATAGAATCTACCAGTAGGGTTGTTAGGAAAATTAAATTAACTGATACATGTAAAGTGCTTAGCACAGTATCTGGGCCATGCAGAGTACTCGGTGAATGTTAACTGTGTTTCCTCATCAGTAGTAGGACCGATGTTATCCCTTCATCTGTCATTCCTACTTTCAGAAAGGACTAGAGTTGGCTTATAAAATTGTTAAGACTAAACCATGACCACAAGAAGTAAAAAGTTTTCCTTTTTTCTCATTCTAATCCTTTCTTTCCTGGCCCTGAGTTTCAAAGGAATGGTTTCTGGGTTCTTATATAAGGGACATGCATTAACTATAGTCTTGGAAGTCACAGAAATGCAGTTTATTTTGCAGTTTTCTATAACCCACTGGGGTATAACATTAAATCTAAACTCTCAGAGCAACTCTACAGAAAACTGAGGGGTGGTTTAGGTTTGTTACTTTTTAATGATCTAATTTAATAAAGCATTATACTTAGAGAATCTCAGAGAAAGGAGGAAGATATCCTCCCTTGGACTCCTCTAGCCTATGAATTACTATAATTACTATAATCCTAATTTCCCAGAGGCTTGAGGCTTGAACAGAGACGGTGCTGGGTCCAATCTTCTGATGGGAGAGGTGTGTGCTGACCCAGGGCCTGTACTTTGCAGTAGGGAAGTGTATCTATGTGTCTAAAGTCGTATTCGTTTTTCCTATCACCGAAAGTATTGTTTAATAATCCCAGAAGGTTACTGGAATCTCCTGAGATTCTTTCAGGTTGGGTCTTCTTTCCATGGATGACCTGCAGGCTCCGGGGAGCAGAGCCATCCAGGGACAAAATGAGAGCTGCAGGCCTGTGACTAGCAGACTTGCCTGAGACTGTCTTGGAAGTATTTTTTAAACTTCTAGAACTAGAAATCCAGTGAGATCACAGACTGTTTGCTGGGCTCAGGTCCAAACAAGGGCCCTGTTGGCGCACTGCTGGGCAACACCATGCTAACGTGTGGATTGTGTTCTTCTCGCGTAAGGGAGTTGGAGAAGCAAAGGGAAAGTGCCGCCTCCGACATTCTGCAGAAGAAGCAGGAGGCAGAAGCCGCTGTGAGTACTCTGTCGGCGCTGCCCCGCAGGCCTCTGCCTCTCTTGACCTCTGGGGAGTCTTCCCGCTGCTTGTGCGGGACACAGGGGGCAGCAGATGCTCCCGCCTGCTCTAGCCCTCAGTGCACGCTGGGCTGTGTGCGAAACGCTGCACCCTGCGTGCTGGTCTCGGACCTGAGTTTTGGGCTTTCTTCCCCAATGGCTTCATTCACCATTTTAGTCTTCATATTGTTTCCAGGACGCAAGGCTGGGAACTTCAGTCCCTGTCCTAAAGATTACACACGTTAGCTCAGTAGGCTTAACAAGGGTTTTTAAAAAGTAGTGGGTATCGTCCTCTGTTTCTGCCTTTTACAGGCCATGAGGGAACAGAGATGTCCTGAGTAGATGGCAGCCACCCTGTCAGGGTCTCTGTGGTCACAAGGCCGAAATGCGCGTACAGCACCCAGGCAGATGGCTGAAGCAGGCCATGGCTGTGTGGCGCAGCCCAGCAAGTATGTGGCCATCTGAGGGGACAGTACAGCTCTGCCTGGCAGAACGGGAGAATATGAGTCCTTTCTCAAGGGGAGCCGGAGTCCAGCTTCTCATGTGAAACCTATTTTTAAATGCTGACAACGTACTCAGTATGACTATATTGGGTCAGTGGAGCCTGCCCACCCATTCATGACCCCTAGAAGGGGGACTAAGAGGATCTTGCTCCCACTGGGGTCACAGGTGGGGCTTGTGGCATTTCAGGTGCATCTTACCTGCTGACCCCTAGCTGTCTACTCTGGGATAGGGTTTCAAAGCGAGCCAGTTGGGGAGCCATGTTCTTGGGTGTCCTGCTCTGTCCCTAACCCTGAGCAGTGTGTTGGCGTAGACATGGCTACATGTTTGTGGCCCTCTTAACAAAGAGTAGAACAACCCCCTGGGGCCCTGACAGTGGTCACCCTCGTTCTTTGGCAGGTCCGGTTGATGCGGAATCTGTCCGAAGGATATCGAGGCAGAGGAGTCCAGAATGGGTGAGGAGGCTTGTCCTCTCGTGGGCCAGGGTGGGTGCTGGGAGCCTGCAGCCGCTCAGGGCGCGTGCCTGCCTCTGGCTGACCGAGTGTGTCCTCAGGGCTCATCATCTTAAACGCCTGGTATGGGAAGTTTGTCAACGACAGGAGCAGGAAAAGCGAGAAGGTGAAAGTGATCGACGTGACTGTGCCCCTGCAGTGCCTGGTGAAGGACTCGAAGCTCATCCTCACAGAGGCCTCCAAGGTACCACATGCCAGCCGCCACGGGCCACGTGCTCACAAGATCCAGACAGACAGAGGGAGCTGGGGGTGTAGGTTCAGGCCGACAGGGACGGTCATGGCCCTTACCGTGGAATCTTTCATGTTGCCAACACGCAGTGTCCACATGGAGTGTTTACTCTGTTCATCCATCCATCCACACAACAAGCACTTACTGAGCCCTGCTGTATGCCGGGCACAGCACAAACAGAACACGCACCTGCCTTCGTGGCATCGGCATTCTATTTGCTTTGCCTTATTCCAGAAACAGTGCGAGGTCACTTGAATGTGTAAGTCTCGCCTCTGGAGCCTGGAGTGTGGAGTGTGGACCATCCCGAACTAGCACGCAGGTTCGCTGAGGCGAAGCACTCTGGCTCCTGAAGACGTCGTCCAGCGTCTCTGTCTCGGCAGGGGCATCTGTGAAGATAGTGTCTGTTTACCGTGAGGATGGGGCCTCTATTGAGAGGCACATCTAGGACGACACGGCAACATTTTGAGAATCTCATTTCTTTTTCTTCAAGCTTCAAAATTTGCATCTTCCATGCTGCACCCGAGGAGGTAGTAGGAGGAGTTCATGCTGGGTCTCGAACTGTCTTTAGAGTAACAATCTGTGGTTGGCAGGCTGGGCTGCCCGGGTTTTATGACCCGTGTGTGGGTGAAGAGAAGAACCTGAAAGTGCTTTATCAGTTCCGAGGTGTCCTGCATCGTGATGGTGCTGACAGTGAGGCCTTCGGATACCAAAGCAGTGTGAGTAGCTGTCCTTTGCAGTCACCTGCCGCGGCAGAGACATCAGAGTAGCTGCTCAACATGTGGGCTGATGACCACCGTCCCTCGATTGTCCACTGGGATTTGGGAGGCCAACTGATTGGGCTTCATGACTTGCTCAGAGCCCTGATTTGTGCTCTGAGGAGGGACTTTAGCCTTCACAGTGGAATCAGAGTGAGCTGTTTGCTTGTCCACTGCAGCTTTGCTCGCTGGCAGGAAAGCAAACCTCCATGTTCCAGAAGCAGTTGATTCTGGCCAGTGTGTGCTCTGCCCAGTCACGGGCCCAGACAGCTGCTGGTCCATCCGGATGACGCTGCACCCTAAGTATTAATAGAAAGAGCGTGGAAACGGTCACCTTCTGATAGCCTGTGTCTGTCTTGTTTTTACAGCTCACAGGATCGACACGGATGGATAAACTGCTTGAGAACCAGATATTTGAAAGGCTGCAAAAAATCTTGTCCTGGGAGTCTACAAATTTGGAAGCAGGGAGAAAACCCAGACATCAGATGTTTTTATTTCTATTATTCTATAAAAGGCGATACCGTATCAATTATGTGAAAGAACATGCAGACACCTCAGCTTTTGTGGGTGCTGTGGGTAGGACCGAGGCAGCCCCACCCTGGACCAGACCCCAGCATGGCCCACGGCTGTGTTCCCAAGGATCATGTTCCTGGAGGACGGGCCCTGGCCCCTACTCTCCCAGGTCCCCAGGTCTTCAGCATGTGTGCTGGCTGCAGCCACCGCCCACATCTAGGACTGTGAACTCCTAACATCACACTGAACGCGGGAAACAAATGAGAGGCAGGCGGGCGTTCCCACATGCCGAGGCCTCCAGATCAAGGGAGCATCTGTTTGGTCGACTTCCCAGAAACCACCTTTTCTGCTGAAATATTACTAAGTGATCTGGAAAGGATTGTGGGTTTATAAAACTGCTTTTTATTCTGAGAACAAACGGTTTGGAAAATTAGTCTCTTTTTTTCCCGCTCCAGAGCCAGATCATTCACCAGCCCTGGTTAGGACAGCATGGTGTAACTCCTGTGCCGGGCCCTCCCTGTCATGGGTTGCTCCCTGTATCCCTGTGGGAAAACGCCTGCCTGCCCGCACATGTTGACCTAGATCTGCGTCCTCTGTCCCCGGCCCCCACGAGGCGCCTGCCTGGTCGCCTATGCCCACCGCCTCCAGAACACAGTTGCTGGGGACCAGAGAGGTTCGCAGGACAGGCAATGCATGGAGTGAGGGGGAGCGATGAGGACTGCAGTTTGGCACCTAACCCAAGGTATGGACAGCAGCGCACTGGCCTGTGCATCCAACAGGTGTCACCGCTGCTCCCACCTGGCAAGGCTGTCCGACACACAGACGCCCTTTTCAGGATGTGTCGCCCGGAGCTCTCTGCACCTGCGCACTCTGGATGCAAGAAGTCGGGGTAGCAGGCCCCTACCTTAGCAGTTACTGAGACTGAGAGGCCTCGCGCCGAGGGTTGAAGCGGCAGTGTCACCCCTTCTGGACAGTCCGAGCAGGTTACTACAAGCCGGCGGCCGCAACAGCTGTCGGGCTCCAGCAGCCTGAGCTGTTGCTAACACAGGTTCACTCCTGGCACTGGTATCAGGAATAATAGCCAAGAACCTCTCCTTCCAGTTCTCTAACAGCATTCAGGTGGTCCAATTCTGTAATAATTTATCTCCATTCTTTAAAAAGTTTTTCTGCCCCACTGACAGAACCACAAGACGGACCGTGTTGCCATGGAGCTGACTTGACGTGGCCCGGGCGGCCTCTGTGGCAGCGGTTCTTTTGGGCACCAATCTCTGTTTTGTTTCGAAGTTGTACGGAAGGCACTCTCCTACCACCAATAAACCTTTCCTGAAAGCTCGAGGATAGTATTTTTCAGTTTTATCTGTGTGTTCTGGCCACAGCCCCCCAAGTAGCTGGGGCACAGGCCCGTTCCTTTGTTCTTCACGTTTGACCTGAGGCTTAACTTGAAGCTGTGGTTCCATTTTCTTGCTGCATTAAACATTTTGCTAAGAAATACGCACCCAAAGTGAAGAAATCAATTAGGATGTTTGAGTTTCTCTTTCTTAACTCAAAAGCACAATTTGGGGGGGGGGCGGCAGTCCCACCCTGCCACTCGAACAGGAAATAGGAAGTCATCTTGGAGTAAGGAAACAGATAAACTCTGAATGGAGGAGGGAAACACCACAGTATTAGAAAGGGACACTTTATTATGTTTGTTTGCTCACTCAAACCAGGCCCAGGAAAGGAGCTGCTCCTGAAACAGAGACCAGTCTCGGCCATCTGGCCAGCTGTCCAGGGCTGATGGAGGGACCCACTCGCCCTTACCGTGGTCAGCCGCTCCCTCAGGGAAGTGCCAGCGCTGGCTCAGCGTGTTGTCCGAAAGAAAAAAAAAAAAAAAAAAAAAAAAAAAAAAAAAAAAAAAAAAAAAAAAAAAAATGGACAGCAGTCCAGAAACCGCCTCAGATGGACTTCTGTTACTGCAGACCACTGAGCTTGTCGGCCGCAGGCCGCCCCAGCTAAGGCTTCTAAACGTCACAGCAGAGCTGTTCGGGCTCCTCACCAGTAGCTGGCTACTGTCTAATCCTTGTCCAGCAAGCTCATGGCAGCTCTCTACGTGAGCATACAGAAATACCAGGGCCAGAGCCCGGATCCAGTGCCTGCCCTGGTGCAGCCACTGCTGCCCCCATGTCCCAGAACCGTCGGGTCAGCGCCGCTGCTCTGGCCGAGCTGGGCCTGGGGTCCCGCTGCCGTCTCCTGTGGGCCCGGGAGGGGCTGGACATCCTTCGGCATCCACCATCCTCTGGGCCTCAAGCGCCTATCCGGAGCTTGTCGTTTTCCTTCAGAGTTTGAGGAAGGAGTTTTTTTTTCAGGGCATCTAAGTCCAAAGGGCGGTATCTGTGGTCCGGATGCTGCGTGGGACTGGCTTCTCAGCGGCTGTATCTCTTGAGTGAATACAGACAAGTCTTTTGAAGAACTAAGGAGAGAGGAGGGCAGTGACCCAACATGGAGCGGGGGGAGCAAGGGTGTGTGCTGACGGAAACCCTCTGGGGAGAGGCATGAACTGATGCTGTGTCTTAAGTGGGTGTGGGCTGCCCCGGCCACCATCCAGTGACATCAGGGAGGGCCCGTGCACGGCTAAAGGACAGAGCTTCAGACTTCACTGACTCAATATTGGATCTCTACTCCTTGACATTTGCTTATGCACCAAAGATAGAAGCAACTGTATCTCTGAGAACAAACTTACAAGGCAAAGGCTATTTCACCCTTAACTGAGTTCAGCCCAGCTGGGTGAAGCTGCCAGACATTCCCTGGCTGGAAAGATCCGAGCTCAACTTACTTGACTTTGAGGGAAACACCCTGTGGGACTCCAACGCTGACAGCTGCACCCAGGACGCTGTGCCTGGAGATCTTCCTCTCGGCTCCGTACTCCACTATGGTCCCAAAGAAGCCTGCCCTGCAGGGAGCAGACTGCAGTTACCACCTTTGTCCTCCTCATTCCCCACCCCACGGGCAGCTGTCACTTGAGAAGAGACTGGGTCCCCATCCTACTCCCACCACCCACAGGGAGCGGATTCATGTCCAGTGCCCTTGGTCATTAATAGAACAAAGCTGGGACACCCATGGTCCAGGTCTTCCATTCGAATCTCGAGTTCTCAAGGGCTGGGACTGCAGAGTGTTAAATCCCCACAGCGTCCCCATAGGAAGCCACATAGAAACGCCACACACACACAAAGACATTCACACGAGCGGGCGCCTTATGCCAACTGGGTCCGCCCCGGGAATCGCCCACGCAGACCAGCATGCCTGCGTGTTAGCCAGGCTAGCACTTACTTGAGGGATCCTTTCACGCGAGTCTGGTCGTCATCCTGGAACTTGTGCTGGTAGCTGATCAGTGCGAAGGAGTGAGGGATCCCCAGCTGAGGAGACAGGGTACACGTATGTGCAACTCTGTGGGCAGGCTGGGGGGCCAGCCACCCGCCCACCAGCTCTGGGCATCTACTCTGCAGGCCTTTAAGGAAGCAGCCATGATCTGGCAGCTGCACAAAGTATGTGAAAATTTCCTAGTAGCCAGTATTTAGAAACTGGGAGACTGCACATAAAAACCCAGTTTTTTAGGCTGGGTGCTGTGGTTCATGCCTGTAATCCTAGCACTCTGGGAGGCCAAGGCAGGAGGATTGCTCATGGTCAGGAGTTCGAAACCAGCTCGAGCAAGAGCGAGACTCCATCTCTACTAAAATTAGAAAGAAATTAATTGGCCAACTAAAAATATATAGAAAAAATTAGCCGGGCATGTGGTGCATGCCTGTAGTCCCAGCTACTTGGGAGACTGAGGCAGGAGGATCACTTGAGCCCAGGAGTTTGAGGTTGCTGTGAGCTAGGCTGACGCCACAGCACTCTAGCCCAGGCAACAGAGTAGACTCTGTCTCAAAAAACAAACAAAACCAAACCCAGTTTTTTAGTTTCTCATGAAAAATAAAAACTCTGGCAACATTGCTCCTATGCCCCTAGTGGTAGCAGTTGGTAAGAGTGGCCTTTGAGGAGTGGCCTCTCATTCATTAGCTCTTGCCTGGCCTCCTTCACTCACTGCCCGGCCAGGGTGGCATCTGAGTGCACGATTTTGCTTTAGGGCTTCATTTGCCAACCAGCGCTCCCACCTGAATTCTGTGGGCTTCTCCCCCCAGATGTTACAATGTCATTTTGCTTTAGGATAATCTGAACACAGCTACCCTGGGTGCCTGAGAACATTATTTCAATACTCTGTGAAGCTTCCAACGCATCACTCCTGAGGGTGAGTGTGGACGACCAGAGCCTGTCCCTCGGGGTTCCATGGGTACTTATAACTGAGCGGGGTACCTGACTGAGTGCCTGGAGCTCTGTCCTCAGGAGATGGCAGCTCCTTGGCTCACCTGCAGGGCCACAGTGAAGTGGCTGGTTTTAGTGTCCCGGACGATGCTAGTGTTCATGGCCGACTGGATACCCCATCGCCACTGCAGGTAGCCCACGGTGTTCTTGTCCAGGTTCCGAGCTAGGACAGTGGTAAGGCCAGGTCGGATTCCACGGGATGAAAACTGCAGAGCACAGTTTGTCGTCACAAAGCTGGGGGGGCACACAGAGAGAGAAAGGGTCTTGGATGGCACCTGCTCTTAGTTGTTCTTTGTCACCTTCTGCCAGGCTAGGATCTTGCTCATGAATTCCTGGGCCAGCTGCCAGCAAGGAAAGGCTGGAGACCAGACCTCCACCCATACGAGGAAGAGGGAGGGCAACCGGCAGATCCTTCTAGCAATCCTCCCTGGAGACCCGCCCCAATCCACTCCAACTTTAACTACAACCAAAGGGGCACCTGGACGCCTGCAGTCCTCAGCCAGTAGAAGCAATCCTGCAGCAAGTCAGAATCACCTGGGGAGGTTTTCAAATGAGGTAGCCCGGGGCAGTGGTTCCTAGACTTTGCTGCACAGTGGAATCACCTGGCTGGTCTAAGAATAACACTGGCGCTGGCTCCTCCCCCAGGCATTCTGCTATCTTTGGTATAGGCTGAAAAGTCTCCCAGAAGATTCAAACGTGCAGCAGAGTTTGAGAACTACTTATCAAGAGCACTCCCTAGACCAATTAAATCAGAATTCCTGAGCGGGGGCCCAGGCATCAGTGTATTTTTAGAAAACCGCCCATGTGGTTCTGCTGTACATCCACAGTGTGTACTACTGACTGAAGTTACCGGCAAAGTGAGCACAGGAAACCGGTTCTGGGAAGGGCCTCTGCAGTTTGTTTCCAAGGGAGTCCTGCACCATCTTCTGGTTAAAGAGGGGTATTTCATTTCACTAACAAAGGAACTCACAGGACTTCATGCAAGGTGAATAAACAGCTGCTTTCTCTAGTAAACAGACCAGCACTCACAGATTTGCCTGAGATTAGTTTCTTTCTCTCCTTTCTAAGCTCTGGAGATGATGCTTTTGTCGTTAAAATAACAATAAATATAACTCTTATCCTGATCACTCTTTTACTCATTCCAGTAACTTCCCAAGGCCAAACGAATGAACTAACTCTCCACTCTCCACAGGGCCCCGACCCAACATTTTCTCTCATTTATTCCACACTCAAGTCACACTGGGAAATGGCTACATTGTTCTGCTCTAGCCACACTGGGGGTGAGGGGCAAGTGGGGAGGAGAGAGGGAAGAAGCCACCCCTAGAATTCTGAGAGAAAGTTACAGAGTGTAATTTGAAAGAATCAAAGTAAAATGAGGTCCTTGTGTTATCAGGGAGACCGAGCATTTTGTCCAGCACTGTCCTAGAGAGAGAAACAGAGACCCTGGCGGAGAAATGAGCTGGGCAGGGGGATCAGTGGCACACTGCCTTTGTCAATCTGATTCCACAAACAAGCAACCGTTTTTTTAAAAAAGAGATGGGGTCTTACTATGTCACCCAGGCTGGTCTCAAACTCCCGGGCTCAAGCGATCCTGCCGCTTTGGCCTCCCTAGTTGCTGGGATTACAGGTGTGAGCCACCACACCCAGCTCCCATGAGCAACCTTTCAAGTGCAGCCTGGACTCACAAATATAGACGGTCCCCACTTAATGATGGTTCCACTTCTGATTTTTCGACATCATGAAAGGTTTATCAGAGCATGAAATACATTTTCAACTCAAAATATTTTTGACTTACGATGGCTTATCAGGACACAGCCCCACTGTAAACGGAGGAAGGTCTGTAACGCAAGCCAAGGATCAGGGAGTCCCGAACAGCAGGCGCGTGTAGCTGGTCTGGGCACTGCACATTGATGAACTGACACTCTCGTTTAAAAATCAATCAGTGTCTTTGCCTGTAAATCTGCACTCTCAGGTCTAATAAACTCTGGGGACTACAACAAAATTCAATTTGCAAACCTGTGAAAAGTGGATGACCAGCCAGCTCCAGAACCTAGTCCCAGTGAACAGACACTCGAGCTCTACCAGAAAATGGCCAGAAAGTTTTCCTCAACTAAGTGTCTCCAGAACTTGTCTGACCTTAGGAATCACCTGGGCTGCTTGAAAAAAACAGATTCCCAGGCTCCTCCCTAGGAGGACTTGATTCAGCTTCTTTTCTTTTTTTTTTTTGAGACAGAGTCTCACTCTGTTTCCCAGGCTAGAGTGCCGTGGCGTCGTCAGCCTAGCTCACAGCAACCTCCAACTCCTGGGCTCAAGCAATCCTCCTGCCTCAGCCTCCCGAGTAGCTGGGACTACAGGCATGTGCCACCATGCCCGGCTAATTTTTCTATATATATTAGTTGGCCAATTAATTTCTTTCTATTTATAGTAGAGACAGGGTCTCGCTCTTGCTCAGGCTGATTTTGAACTCCTGATCTCGAGCAATCTGCCCGCCTCGGCCTCCCAGAGTGGTAGGATTACAGGCATGAGCCACCGTGCCCAGCCTTGATTCAGCTTCTAGCCAGCAACTGAGGTGACAATTCTAAGTAGACAAGGTCAGGACAACGCTGACATGTGTACACACACAATACACTGTATCTCCTGAGAGTATGGTTAGAAGTCGAATTCCTGTCCTCTTCTTAGACATTTGACAGCGGTACCCAGGTGATCCCCGAAGGTGGCACGACCCAAGCCCCTTTCCATCTTCGCGCTCTGCCTGGAGCGTGGCTTTGGCTGAGGCCTCCATCCACCCCTCAGGCCGCATCCTCTTGGTCCCGCTCACTCGTCCCTCACTCTCCCTGGGTCAGACTGACCTGTGAACCTGCCTGTACGCCCTACCCCATGCCCTGTGCACTGAATGACCAGACTGGCAGGCAGGGACCGGGTCGTACCCTGCAGATCCTGGCAAGCATGCAGATACACGTCCCATCGGAAGTATAATAACTTTCTTATCACACATGTACCCCATTCTAGGACTCCTTCAGCTATATCTTCCTCCCAGAGGACAGAGATGTTCTTTACTTTCCACCCAATTCTATTATCTGGCTCACACGAACAACCCTGCCCACACCATATGGGAAATAAGGACTCTGCTGTCATTCTAGAAGGGACAGGAATGTATAGTTCTAGGAATGTGACATCACAGCAGCAGCAGAGATGACAGGAAGCAGAGGCTGTGCATGTCTGGCATATGTCAATCGACCTGATAACTAGGCAGTCTGACATCCTCTGGGACAAAGAAATGATCACAAGTCCTTACCACTAACTTACTTCCCCATGAAGGCACTTTGCAGACATCACCTTGTGGCACAGGTGGGGAAGTGCACACCACGGAGGGGGAAGCCTAGCTGGGGCGGGGACCAGGATCAGGCTCCCTGCAATCCAGGGCTCTCCCCACCCGCATGCTGCCTGGGCTTCACGCCAGCACTGCAAGTGCCTGACATGCTCAGTAACCTTGCAGGACAGACAAGACAGCATCGGTGACTGTGATAAAAAGAATACATATTTCTAGTCTCCTATACCAACAAAGAACACCGAAGAAGATCTATGTCTTATATTTACCATCTTGGTGTGAGATTGCGGAACAGCTTGAGGCCAAATAAAGGCCCCTGTAGGTCTCCAGCTCCAAATTCCAACTGTTTGAAAACGAAAAAGAAAGTATTAGTGGTGTTTTTATCTCGTTGCAGTACCCCAGGCTCAGGTATGCATCTCTAGTTATGATTTCTTCATTTAATTCAATACTTTTTGCCAGGGCTTTAAAAGAAAGGGGTGGAAGATTCTTAATATTTCATCTTAACTTTTGCCAAACGGAGATCTCTGTCAGACTCAAAGAAGCCCAGGTTTCAACGGCACATGTTTCAGAAAGGGGTCCCTCCAAAGAAAAAACTGTCAGCCTCTGATCCTCAACTTCCTGACCCAGGCTCCCCACCCATCCCTGCAGCAGAGCCCCATCTGCAGAGCTCTGCTGCGGTCAGGTGGCCCGATCCCCACCACGCAGGCAACGATTTCATATTTCCATTCTGCTCCGGAGGTATCACCAGTGACTGGAGATGGTTCTGGGGGGTCTGATGTTAAAGCCCACCAGCATTTCCACACTTGAATGGCCTGGGAAGTTGCAGCCGATTCTCGCTGCCTCATTTACCAGTCTGGGTGACTTTCAAGGCAACTCTTCAATGTTAATTTGATGCAGCTCAATTTGCTGAGCAGAAGTGGCTGCTAAATGACCACCAGTCATTTAGGCCTTCTGCATTGTGCAGGAAGAGCATTAACTCACAGGGTTTTGCTCAGAAAAGGGAACAAAGATGCTGAGTTTCTAGAGGTTGGATTTCTGGAAGTTGGCATCTCAAAGGAAATCTTGTTTTTTACACTAATTTTAAGTTGTTTAAGAATACTGACAGGACTCCTTAGAAATGAGACATATTTTTCTTTTGTGGCCAGTCAACTTATGGAAGTTTGACACTTGGTACCCTGTTACACAAGAATGAGGCCAACTCTGGGTCTGTTTGAGGGTTATTTTTTAGAGTGTAAATGTTCAGAAATAAGGCTCTGCATGGACAGCACAACCCAGCCCATCGCCGCTCTTACCTCTCCCCATCCCTTTGCGGATGTGACTCGTCTGAGCGCAAAGTTAATGGAGCCCCCTCCATTCCCGTTCTGGGTCGAGAGGCTTCCAGAGAGGATGGCCGTGTCTGTAGCTGTCAAGGGTGCCTAGGAAAGGATACTTGCTGGTAATAAAGGAATCAAAGCAATAGGAAGTGCCGGTGAAAGCAGCCTAAGGAATTCATTGTAAGTACAAGGCCAAAGGTACAGACGACTGCAGTCCTGAAGTCCACAGGGATGTGTAATTGTCTCAACTGCTTTACTCTTCTCTCACTCTGTTATTTGGACTGCATGTAGCCATGAAGGTAAATATATTTTTCAAAAGCTTTAATGACCAAATTTCACAACACCAAGGGGAAACATAGGGCTAAATGCTAAATGCTGGGTTCTTAGTGTACCAATGAAATTGGCTCGCACAGCACCTTCTCTAAGTGCCTTCCCACTGTGTGATGTCTGGGCCTCTCCAGTCCACGCCTACCACCAGGGTTCTGGAAGGGACTGAAGACCTTCCCATGGCTGTATTAACTGACTCTGGTAGCTCCAAGAAGGGGCAAGTTTCCCTGAGTTAAGACTCCATGTTGTTGGCAGATGTATCTGAGAATAAATGAATGAGCTGAGGAGGCAGAGACCTACTAGAACCCTCACAGAGAACGGCCTGACTTTGCCACATCGGCCGAGTGGGCAGAAAGGTGATGTTTTCTTCATCCCAAATCTCAGGGTGCAGAGCTGCACCTAATAAAGTCTACCTTGAAGTTAAAACCAGCTGTTAGCATTACCCAGGGAGGTCTACCTTCTCTCCTAATATCACCATGACCTGTGCTTTGACTTCCTCACACCATGAACTAACTGGAAAGACCTGAGACCTTGGAAGCGAAGCACCCTCAGCCCCACACTCACGCTGGCTAATCTGCCAGCAAAGCAGTAATGCACAAGGCTGTAACTGGAGCTCTTTTTTTTTTTTTTAAAGCTGCTAATTGCATCCTTTCATAAATAAAGATGAGAAAAACCCTAAGCAGACTCTCATTCCAGCTGCTTGCTGTGTTGCGCCTCATTAACTCAAGCCCTTGCTATACTCGGAGAGGTGTCTGTGTGCTTTACCTCAATGGACTGGGATATGTGCATTTTATTAATTTCAATCTGTGGAAAGCCACTTCCGGATACATCTTCATACTCCTCATCATAGCGATCAAAAAGGTCAGTGGCATCTACTCCAACGCTGATCGTTCCCTGGGGCAGAAAAGCAGCAGTCAGCATGAAGGGTGGTGATTGGGGAATGAGAGACAATGCTACATTTCAACAGTGAGCTCAAGTTATCTGATTCCACGGTACACTGGGTTTAGGTAGGACACTCCACCATGACGCCCACAAAGCATGAATGTCACAGTTCAACCCAAAAACTGCAGAGCACCAGACTTCCAGAGCCACAAAGCATCATTTGACTAGGAGAACCAGTCTGCCAAACACAAAAGTGTTGGCATTAATAAAAGATCTATACATTTGATTTTCAGAGACTAAACAGGACCCACGAATGCATAAAGCAACCTAGAAACCAGCTACATGGATTAAACATTTTTCTCTAAATACTCTTACATCAAAACTACCTTAAAACTCTTTTTTTTTTTTTTGAGACAGAGCTTCAGCTGCCCCCGAATGCTGAAGGCCCCACCAAACAGGTAAGACGCAGGGTTGAGTATGAAGGCAGCATGTGGTTGGTCAGTCTCAGCCTGAGGAGACTGCTTTAAACACAGTGGAAACTGGTGCCCAAAATACCTGCCACGTGAGAACTGCCACGGGCAGGGTGTGTAGTCTTTTTTTTTTTTTTTTGAGACAGAGTCTCGCTTTGTTGCCCAGGCTAGAGTGAGTGCCGTGGCATCAGCCTAGCTCACAGCAACCTCCAACTCCTGGGCTCAAGTGTTAATTTCACTAACTCTTCCTTTCCAAGATTTGTAATGCAAACTTTAATGTGAGCTGTCCTGTGCTGGTTGTGCTGTTAGCACAACTTCACAACTGCTAACGGTGCTAGCTCTCTATCAGTTCATCAGTTGCTTCAGACAGAAAACCCACTAATCCTAATAATCACTTGATGTCTGTTGGAGTGAAACACCTGACATTACAAATGCTACTATAAGCTCAGCTGAAAAGTTCCATCCTGAATGTAAATGTATTTTTTTGTGTGAGTGTGTGTGGTAATACTCAAATACCAATTTTGGGGGAGTATAGTGTCATGGTAAAATATATTCTTATTGAATCAAGAAACCAATGGAGCAGAAGGATTCTTAGAATTAGTTGTAGTACACACCTAATGCCTAATTGGGTCAAACAAAGCTGTGATATTCTACCCATGGAAAATGGAGCTGCTGTTGTCAAAATTTACAAATATTTTTGAATAGTCACGGAGTAAAAGAACCAATACATTTTTGTGATGACACTGATTCTGAATACAAATATCTGCAGCACAACAGTAAATTAACAACTGTGTATTCATAATATTTAAGCCTTTGTAGAAATCCCTTTTTAAAAAAGCACAAAAATCCCCACAGCTTTGAAAATATTTAAGAAATTGCAATCACTGAAAATAAAGCTTGTAACCAAGAATACTATGAAATTGGTCTATTTAGGAGGAAAAAAACTGAACAAATTAAATAAGAGCTCAGTTTATAATTTTAAAATTCCATAGTGGCATTTTGAATATCTTATCTCTGGTAAGAATCTTGGGTGGAGCTGTCATGTTTAATTGGATAAATTTATATTCTGTCCTGGAATGGAACTGAAAAGGTATACAGTTTTATAACATCTTATCTATTTATTTATTTATTTTTGAGACAGAGTCTCGCTGTTGCCCTGGCTAGAGTGAAGTGGTGTCATCATAACTCACTGAAACTTCAAACTCCTAGGCTCACACGACCCTTTTGCCTCAGCTTCCTAAATAGCCGGGACTATGGGCATGCATCACTGTGCCCGGCTCATTTTTCTTTTCTTCTTTTTTAGTAGAGATGGGGTTTTATTGTGAACTCCTGAGCTCAATTCCAGTGATGTTCCTGCCTCTGCCTCTCAGAATGCTAAGATTACAGGTGTGAGCAACCATGCCCGGCCTATAGCATCTAAATTTGATGAAATATTCAAAAGATCATGAATAAAGACAATGTATAAAAAAATTAGTCAGAGAAAACTATCCTGAATGGAGTTGAAAAAGACAATACCTGTGCAAATGCTTGGGCCAAGATATTTATATGTTCTAAAATGGAGAAATTTAGAATTGAGAGAGTATTTTCTGAATTAAGAATAATATGATATACAAAGAAGAGTCAATTAAATGTGTTAAAAATTTCAAATTTACTGAATATAAATGCAACTTTCATCAAGATGGTAGGCAAATTTATGAAAGGAAAAAAAGATACTGGAAATATATTTTTCAGAAAAATAGCACTGACACCATGTGGCAGTTAGAATCCAAAGAAGGCCTCCCTAAGAATCATGCCTGTGAGTACTCACACCCTCGGAGAGTCCTCGCCCCAGTTCTGAACTAGTTCCGAGACTTGCTTTTGTCCAACAGAATGTACTGAGGTGATGGTGCCGACTTCAAGACCAAGTCAAGAGAAGCTCTGCAGCTTCCTCTAGGTTTCTGGAATATACTGTTGGGGGATGCTACCTAATACATGTTAAGTTCAACTACCCAGAGACTGCTGTGTTGTGAGGAAACCTCGGTTAGCCAGGGGAGAGGCCATGTGGAGAGACAGAGAGCTGCCAGGCCATTTCTGACTGTCCCCGCCCCGCAGCTGGGGTGTGTGAGAGATGTCCACACCTAGTCCAGCTGGCCTGCAGATGTCAGTCAATCCAGATGGCCGGAAGAAAATCAGTTGCTGCTGCAAGCTACTAAGTTTTAGAGTGGTTTGTTACATGGTGACATCATCAGAACACTGATATCAGGAGACACAGGGCTGGTGAACTGGTTAAAGTATACGAATGTATGCCAAAAATAATGATTCTGTTTATGCTACTCTTAATGTTCATATAATCAGCAAAATTTTAAAAATTTGTTTTAATGTCCGTAGGTACATGTTTTCTTAAGAAAATATTTTACTTTTAAAGTCTTTGAGTACACTATTTTATAGTTTCTCTGATATAAAACCAGTGTGTTATTTTCTTTTTTTGAGACAGTCTCACTCTGTTGCCTGGGCTAGAGTGCCGTGGCGTCAGCCTAGCTCACAGCAACCTCAAACTCCTGGGCTCAAGTGATCCTCCTGCCTCAGCCTCCTGAGCAGCAGGGACTACAGGCATGCACCACCATGCCCAGCTAATGTTTTTCTATATATTTTTAGTTGGCCAATTAATTTCTTTCTATTTTTAGTAGAGATGGGGTCTCGCTCTTGCTCAGGCTGACTTTGAACTCCTGACCTTGAACGATCCTCCCGCCTCGGCCTCCCAGAGTGCTAGGATTACAAGCATGAGCCACCACGCCTGGCCTAAAACCAGTGTTTGTTAATAAATATTTCAAAAAATATTTGAAATTCAGTTTTGAAATGTCCTTTCTCTCTAAAATGTCCTAGTTTGAATGATGAGTGGTGTGGTCACCCTGCCTACAGGGAATCAAAGTCACCAGATGCTTTGAGCTGAACGACCTGGTATGACCTGAGTCTCACAGCCTCGCTCTGGCAGCTGTGCAGGGTCAAGGGTAGAAAGAGGGAGGGCAGTTAGGAAAGGCTGTGACACAGCCCACAAAGAAATGACCACGGTAAGCTCAAGGTGGTAGCACTGGCAGAAATAACAGATTTATATATATGTATCTCCTAATTGGCCACCTCATTCAACTCATTAGACCAGTTTTCAGCTGGCTCTTTAGAGAAAGGCAATCACATCATTGCATTGCTTCAATCTTTATCTCTCTTTGATTTTTTTGTCTATGGGCTAAAATTTCCAGAATAATGTTATGGTTTATTTCCTTTCCCAAAGACAACTTTTTAAATGATGCATATCTGTGTTAACTCTGTACTGACAATCAACTCATTCCTCAGAGGATAGACTAGACTTTAGAAGTTTAAAAATATTGTCATCACGTTTTCAACCATTCTTCTGTTTCTTTAAACAAGGCCAAAATAATTGAAAACTCCCAACGAGCCACTGACTTTTGAGACTCAACAGCCCTTGGGGCTGATCCAAGTCTACAGAAAGTGACTAAGGCAAAACAGTCACAGTGAGCCAAGGAGAGCGCTGGGCTCAAGAGCCAACCAACCCACCACTTGATGGAATTAACAGTCCTGGAAAATGACTGATAAGTCATTCTGAGTTGACAAGGACACTTATTTCAGAGAGTGGTTCAGATGCCCACCTTCTCTTCTTCCATTTCGAGGAAGTAACCTTTTGAAAATGGACCGGTCACAGCACCAGAATAGGTCTCTTCTCTGTGTCAAACAGGGGTTTGGATACAACTTACATCATTTTCACTTATATAATATAATATGTTTTTAGATAAGAAGTCACAGGTTTGAGAGGAATGAAAGCAAGGTTTGAATTTTAACAGAAGATCAAACATGTAAAGCGGAAGACAGAGATGGAACAGTGGATAAACCAAATAGGTTACATGTTTTTCAACAACTACTAATTGAATAGGTTAGGTCTTACAGGTTCATGTCTTATTATTGTTATTAAACCACATTTTTCAAATAAAAATGGTTTACAAAGGAATATACTTCTCTTCCTTCCCTCCCTTTTTAGAGGAAAATACTTCTTTTTTGAGTAACTTCTGCTACCAAGTCCAAATCACAAACTTTTAATTTTTATTATTTACTTTGAGACAGAGACCCTATTGTGTGGGCTAGAGCGCAGTGTGTCAACATAGCTCAGTTCAACCTCAAAAGTTGAAGCAATCCTCCTGCCTCAGCCTCCAGAGTAGCATGCAACCACACCTGGCTAATTAATTTTTTTTTGTGTGTGTGTGTGTGTGGAGATGGAGTCTCATTACGTTGCCCAGGCTCGTCTCAACCTTCTGGTCTTAAGTGATCCAATTCTCCCACCTCAGCCTCCCAAAGTGCTAGGATTACAGGCGTGAGCCACTGTGCTTGGCCCACAAACTTTTTAAAGCATTTTGTTTATTTTTCTGCAACTAGCACCTTTCACTTTACTTTCTAGGGCAAGGAGGTCAAACTTGCTTTGTAAAGGGCAGATATTTTAGGCTTTACGGACTGTTGAAACTACTCAACTTTGTTGCTGTTGTGCAAAAGCAGCTACACATAATGTGTAAACAAATGAGCATCACTGTGCTCCAATAAAACTTTTTTTTTTTTAGAGACGGGGAGTTGCTTTGTTGCCCAGGCTGGAATGCAGAGGTGGGATCACAGCTCACTGTAACCTCAAACTTCTGGGCTTAAGGGATCCTCCTGCCTCAGCCTCTGGAGTAGTTAGGATCACAGGCACATGCTACCAATTTTTTTTAATGTAGAAACCGGATCTCACTATGTCACTCAAGCTGGTCTCCAACTCTTGGCCTCAAGTGATCCTCTTGCCTTGGCCTCCCAAAGTGCTGGGATTACAAGCTTGAGCCATTGTGCCTGGCCTTATATCTTAATAAATATCACATGCCACAAAATACTAGTCTTCTTTTGATTTTTATAAAACCATTAAAAATGTAAAAGACATTCTTAGCTCATGAGCTATATAAATACAGGCAGTAGGCCGTTTGCCAACCTCTATTATAGAGTACCTAATTCTGCTATCAGTATATAAAAATAACAATAATGACAAGTAGTCCTTTACAGACAGGGAGGATACTACCGAGAAATCATCAGGGCTACAGATTCTCAACTGGACCTTTGGGATTTTTTTTAGGTGAAAGGCTCAATCTATAACATGGAACATTTTTTTTTCCTGTACTAGTGCTAACTAGACTCCTGTGCCATAGTTTCCTATATATTCAACCAATCAGGTCAGATTAATGAGTGTAATACAAATTGTCAAAAGAATATGATTTACTTAGTTTCTCAAGTTTTTAACTACCTAATAAAAGTCACAAACCACTAAGATTCAAAGGTATAAACAGCTAAACACAAGAGGAAGTAGCTGAAGATATCACCTTTTAAGCAACCATTCCAACCCATAAACTCTAAACTCACGGGATCACCGTTTTCCTGGAGAACTAAATGCTCTATTCATAAGTCAACCCTTTTTTCTTTAACCATTAAAGAAAATTAAGCACCTTAAAACGTGGTGGCTCACGCCTGTAATCCTAGCACTCTGGGAGGCCGAGGTGGGCGGATTGCTGGAGGTCAGGAGTTCGAGACCAGCCTGAGCAAGAGCGAGACCCCATCTCTACTATAAATAGAAAGAAATTCATTGGCCAACTAATATATATAGAAAAAATTAGCCGGACATGGTGGCGCATGCCTGTAGTCCCAGCTACTTGGGAGGCTGAGGCAGCAGGATCGCTTGAGCCCAGGAGTTTGAGGTTGCTGTGAGCTAGTCTGACGCCAAGGCACTCACTCTAGCCTGGGCAACAAAGTGAGACTCTGTCTCAAAAAAAAAACAAAAAAAAATTTAAAAAAAAAACAAAAACAGGCCGGGTGCGGTGGCTCACGCCTGCAATCCTAGCTCTCTGGGAGGCCGAGGCGGGCGGATTGCTCGAGGTCGGGAGTTCGAAACCAGCCTGAGCAAGAGCGAGACCCCGTCTCTACTATAAATAGAAAGAAACTAATTGGCCAACTAATATATATATAGAAAAAATTAGCCGGGCATGGTGGCTCATGCCTGTAGTCCCAGCTACTTGGGAGGCTGAGACAGAAGGACCGCTTGAGCCCAGGAGTTTGAGGTTGCTGTGAGCTAGGCTGACGCCACGGCACTCACTCTAGCCTAGGCAACAAAGCAAGACTCTGTCTCAAAAAAAAAAACAAACAACAACAACAAAAAAAACACAAAAAACGTTTTATTCTCTCATCTGCAGGCAATGCAGTGTTCCCGCATTTAGTCTCTTATCTGAATTCCCTAGGAAGCTTGTTAAAATACAGATTCCCAGGTAGCAACCTGACAGACTCCTATGGAGTTGCCCAGGGCAGGGACTGAGAATCTGCATTTTTAATAAGCAAACATATTGTTATATAGCTGAGTTAACCAATTGTTTTTGTGAAGTACAAACTAGCTGATAGTCTTTTTTTAGTTGAAATTTAAATTTGCTGTGATACAGATTCACACTTAGTTATAAGAAATAGTAAGAGAGATCCCTTTACCCAATTTCCCCCGATAGTAACATCTGATAAAACTACAGTCCATGCGTATCCAGGAGATATTGCAGATTTGGTTCCAGATCACTACAGTAAGTAAATTATCACAATAAAGCAAGTCATGTGAATTTTTTGGTTTCCGAATGCATATAAAAGTTATAATTATACTATACTGTAGTCTATTATGTATGCAATAGCAATATGCCTAAAAAATAGTATGTATCTTAATTAAAAGTAAAATGTATTGCTTAAAAAATGCTATCATCTGAGCTTTCAGTGAGTTGTAATCTCTTTGCTGGTGGAAGGTCTTACCTCCAAGTTGGTGTGGCTGTGGCAATTTCTTAAAATAAATCAGTGAAATTTGCTGCACTGATTTACTCTTCCTTTCATTGAGATTTCTTTATAGTATGCTATACTGTCTGAGAGCATTTTACCCACAGAACTTCTTTCAAAATTGAAATTAATCCTCTCAAACCCTCCTACTTCATCAATTAAGTTTATGTAGTATTCTAAACCCTTTGTTGTCATTTCAATAATGTTCACAGTATCTTCACCAAGAGTAGATTCCATCTTAAGAAACAACTTTCTTTGCACATGCATAAGAAGCAATTCCTCATCTGTTCAAGTTTTATCATGAGATTGCAGTAATTCAGTCACATCTTCAGGTTCTACTTCTAGTTCTGTAATAGCTCTTTTGCTATTTCAACCACATCTGCAGTTACTTCCTCCACTGAGATCTTGAACTCTTCAAGTCATCCATGAAAGTGGAATCAACCTCCTGTTAATGCTGATTATTTTGACCTTCTCCCATGAATCATGAATGTTCTTAATGGTATCTAGAATGGTGAACCCTTTCCAGGAGGTTTTCAATTGACTTTGCCCAGATCCATCAGAGGAATCACTGTCTGTGGCAGCTATCACCTTACAAGATGTATTCCTTAAATAATAGGACTTGAAAGCCAAGATTACTTCTTGATCCATGGGCTGCAGAATGAACGTTAAGTTAGCAGGCAAGAAAACAACAACATTCACCTCCTTGTACATTTCTACCGAAGCTCTTGGGTGGCCCCACAGATGTACTGTCAACGATCAGTAACATTTTGAAAAATAAAAATCTTTTTGCCGAGCAGTAGGTCTCAACAGTGGCCTTAAATTATTCAATAAATCATGATATAAACAGATGTGCTGTCATCCAGGCCTTGTTGTTCCATTTATAGAACAGAGGCAGAATTGATTTAGCATAATTCTTAAGGGTCCTGGGATTTTCAGAATGGTAAATAAGCATTGGCTTCAATTTAAAGTCACCAGTTGCAGAGTCCCTAATAAGAGGGTCAGCCTGTTCTTTGAAGTTTTGAAGCCAGGCATTGACTTCTCTCTAGCGATAAAAGTCCTAGATGGCATCTTTTTCCAATGGAAGACAGTTTTGTCTCTACTGAAAATCTGCCATTTAGCATAGGCACCTTCATTAATGATCTCAGCTAGACCTTCTGGAAAACTAGCTGCAGCTTCTACATCAGCACTTGCTGCTACATCTTGTGCTTTTATGCTATGGAGACAGCTTCTTTCCTTAAACTTCACGAACCAGCCTCTGCTAGCTTCAGATTTTTCCTCTGTAGCTTCCTTACCTCTTTCGGCCTCCACAGAATTGAAGAGAGTCAGGGTCTTGCTCTGGATTAGGCTTTGGCTTAAGGGAATGTTGTGGCTGATTTGGTCTTCTATCCAGATCACTCCAACTTACCCTGTAGCACTAATAAGACTGTTTTGCTTTCTTGTAATTTCTGTGACCAGAGTAGCACTTTTAATTTCCTTCAAGAGGTTCTCCTTTGCACTTACAACCTGGCTAACTGTTTGCTGCAAGAGGTCTAGCTTTCAGCCTGTCTTGGCTTTCGACATGCCTTCCTCACTAGGCCTAATCATTTCTAGCTTTTGATTTAAAGTGAGACACGTGGGACTCTTCTTTTACTTGAACACTTTGAAGCAGTGGCTTCAAAGGTTATTAATTGGCCAATTCTAACATTGCTGTGTCTCAGGTAACTGGATGGCTGAGGAGAGGGAGAGAGATGGGAGAGGTGCTGGCTGGTGGAGAAAGCAGAATACACAACATTTATTCTACAGGCACGGTTCATGGCACATCAAAACAGTTACAACAGTAACATCAATAACACTGATCACAGATCACAGTAACAGATATAAAAATAATGAAAAAGTCTGAAATGTTGTGAGAGCTATCAAATGTGATAGAGAGACATGAGTGAGCACAGGCTGTTGGAAAACGGTGCTGATAGACTTGTTCAACGCAGGGTTGCCACAGACCTTCAATTTGTTAAAAATAAAATGAGGTATACTCATTTTATTATGAGTATTATAAGCCACTGCTTCAAAGTGTTCAATATCACAGTCAGGATACTGATGCAAATCAATGATCTTATGCAGATTTCCTACTTTATTTTCCCATTTGTGCGTATGGATTCTATACAACTGTATCACATATATGGGTGCGTGTATCCACCATTCCAGTCAAGACAGAGAATATTTCTACCATCACAGGGATCCCTCGTGCCCTTTGCAGCCACGCTCTCCCTCCCTCTTCCCCATTTCCCAGCCTCTGACCCTCACTGATCTGTCTTCCATTTCTGACAGTCTTTTCAGGAGAAGCTGGAGTTGCCAGAGCCGTGCCTATTTTATTCTCTCTTCTCTTTAATGATTATAGATAAATAACACAGTCTGTTCCAATATAATGATCTTTAATAAAGCAATTTAGATTTTTGGTTAAACCAACAGGATAGAACATGTCTATCTCAGGGTCCTGAAACCCTGCTCCCTCCCAAAATGACACTAAAGGAATAATAAAGGCACAGGCTCCCAAGGACAAAAAGAACATGAGAGGTAAAGGTGGCAGATAACAGGTATGAACCAATGTTTAGAAACAGGAAGAAGACAGAGTGATGGTAGTGATTCGGCAGACAATGCTGCAACCCAAGTGTCTCAGGAACTGGGGAGACCAAGACTCACTATAATGGCAGTGGGAACTGGATCACTACCTGTTCACCCAAGGAGCCAAGTGACAGAGGCTTGTTCTTTGGAGAAATCAAATGAGGATCTTCCAGGCAGAGCTAGGGAAGTGTGAGGTATGTACCAGAAACAGGGACGGAATGAAACTCTACAAACTGAAGAGTTACTTCCCAAACTTGATCCCCCACTCAGCTATAAGACTGCTGGCAGCCAGGCAGGAGACTGAAAAACCACACGCTAGTAAGAAAAGGCCTGTAGATGCTAACCTCCATGAAAACAGCCCAGAGTTAAGCCCCATAGGTTGACAAGTCCTGCCAAGTACAGGGAGTGTTCACTGGGCTTTACTGTCTCACTCTTTGGTTTTTACTTTTCTTTAGAGTTGGGGTCTCGCTGTGTTGTCCAGGCTGGATTCAAACTCCTGGGCTCAACCAACCCTCCTACCTCAGCCTCCTGAGCACACTGGCTCACTCTTTATAAACAGATAGCCAAGGATTACCAGACATCTGAGGGAAACCACCAACATGAAAGTCTGAAACCATGTAAAGACAAAAAAGAACCAGGAAGAAGCAGAGAATACAAATACCAAAGAAAATGTCAGGAAATGTGTAAGTAACATCTGTAGAAAAATAAGAGCTGCTGAATAAAAAATAACGTTTATGAATGCTTACTATGTGCCAGGAATTCTTTTAAGTATTTGACATGTATTATTATTTCTTTGAATCCTTTCAGCAACAATATGAGGTTGGCATGACGATTTCCATCTCACAGACGAGAAGCAGAGGGGAAGTAGCCTGCCTCAGGCCACACGGTTGACAAGTGGCAGAGCCAGGATTTGCGCCAGGCCACCCACCTCTACAGGACAAGTACCAAAGCCCTGCTCTGCACCTTCCCATGAATTGGAGCAGCGGTCCCACGGACCAATACCAGTGCACGGCCTGTTAGGATAGGAACTGGGCCGCACAGCAGGAGGTGAGGAGGTGAACAGCTGGTAAGCAGTAGAAGCTTCATCTGTACTTACAGCCGCTCCCCATCCGCTCCCCATCGCTGGAATCACCGCATAAGCTCCACCTCCTGTCAGATCCCCAGCAGCACTGGATTCTCATGTGAGCGTGAACCCTACTGTAAACTGTGCATCTGAGGGGTCTAGGTTGTGGCTCCTTGTGAGAATCCAATGCCTGATGATCTGAGGTGGAGCTGAGTTGGTGACACTAGTGCTGGGGAGCGGCTGCAAATACAGATCATCATAAGCAGAGAGGTCTGACTGCACAGTAAATGTGATGTGCTTGAATCATTCCAAAACCATCCCCCTGACCCCTGCCCCAGTCTGTGGAAAAACTGTCTTCCATGAAACCAGTCCCTGGTGCCAAAAAGGTTGGGGACTGCTGAATTAGAGAACAATAAAGCTCTTAGAAATGAAAAGAATAGCAATCGATTTTTAAATCAACATAAAGGTTGGCAAGTAACCTAGAAAAAAATCTCAAAAAAAGTAGAACTAAATGAAAAATATGCAAAATGGAGAGAAAAATATAAGAAAATAGATGATTAGTCCCAAAGGTCCAACATTTCAATAAAACTAACCTAGAAAGAGAGAAAAGGAAGAATAGAAAGGAAACTATATGAGAAAACTTCTCAGGGCTGAAGAACTCAAATTCCAGGTGGAAAGGCCCACTAAATGCAACAAATAAGAAAATTCACACAAAGTGTGCCCTTGTGGCACTTTAGATGTCTAGAGAAAAAGATGCCAAAAGTTTCCAAAGAGGAAAGAAAAGATTACATACATGGACAAGGATTCAGGACAGTATCCTCAACAGCAGCCCCGGAAGCTAGAAGACAATGGAACAAGGTCTTCCAGATCCAGAGGAAGAAGGATTTTCAAACTGAAATTTTATAGTCAGTCAAATTACATAAAGCCATCATTTTCTTTTTAGGTCTGAAACAGACAAAAATCAGCAATTCCCAATATTAAAGATACATTTTACAAAACGTATAAAGTTGGCTGGGTGCGGTGGCTCACTCCTGTAATCCTAGTACTCTGGGAGGCTGAGGCGGGAGGACAGCTCAAGGTCAGGAGTTTGAAACCAGCCTGAGCAAGAGCGAGACCCCTGTCTCTACCAAGGAATAGAAAGAAATTAATTGGCCAAGTAAAAATATACAGAAAAAATTAGCCAGGCATGGTGGCGCATGTCTGTAGTCCCAGCTACTAGGGAGGCTCAGGCAGAAGGATTACTTGAGCCCAGGAGTTTGAGGTTGCTGTGAGCTAGGCTGACGCCATGGCATTCTAGCCCAGGCAACAGAGTGAGATTCTGTCTCAAAAAAAAAAAAAAGTATAAAGTTAAAGATACATTTTGTAAAAAGTCTATGTCTATACACACACACACACACAATAAAAAAATATAAGGACACATGGTTTATAACTCTAAAAATCCTAAGCCCCCAACTGACTGAACAAACCCCCTCTTGGCCAAGGGGACCCCAGAAAAATCTTAAAACTGAGTTCCTGGCCATGAAAGAAAGGGAAGTCAGACACTTCTAATTATATCCTCTCCTTTTAGGAGTTTAGACAAAACAACTGACCAGCATTAATGTTAAAACAGAGATTATATGACTGACAAAACAGACACGTTGTGACAATAAGATAGTAAGTTATTAACAGAACCTAAGGCTACCACGGCAAAGGTTAAGTCACAGCTGCAGGCCATCAATTTGCTTAGTAGATCACTCTGAATATATTGTGGCTTGCTGTTGGATTAGTAGACTCTCTTATGTCAACTTAAGCATTCCTTTCTATGGACTCCAAGTCTTTAGACAAAGCTTTATTTCTTTAACCAATTACAAATCAAAGACTCTTTGAACTCATCTATAACCTGTAAGCTCCATTCTCACATCTTGCTTTTTCAGGCCATACCAACGTATACTTCCTGTGTATGGATTTATGACTTTATAATACCATCAATTTCTACCTCCCTAAAATGTTTAAAACCGAACTGTAATCTGGTCTCTTCAGGCACATTTTCTGAGGACTTCTTGAGACCATGTTTTCCTGACGACTTGTCACTCATATTTGGCTCAGAATAAATTTTAAATTATTTTACGGAGTTTAGTTTACAAAGATACAATCAAGACATCTAAATCAGCCAGGCATGGTGGCTCATGCCTGTAATCCTCACTCTCGGAGGCCGAGGTGGGAGGATCGCTCAAGGTCAGGAGTTTGAGGACTAGCCTGAGCAAAGCGAGACCCATCTCTACTAAAACAGAAGAAATTAATTGGCCACTAAAATATAGTAGAAAAATTAGCCAGGCATGGTGGCACATGCCTGTAGTCCCAGCTACTCGGGAGGCGGAGGCAGGAGGATTGCCTGAGCCCAGGAGTTTGAGGTTGCTGTGAGCTAACACCACAGCACTCTAGCCAGGGCAACAGAGTGAGACTTTGTCTCAAAAAAAAAAAAAAAAAATTAAATTTTAATTGACAAAGACTGTATATATTCAAAGTGTACAAAGCGGTGATTTGATATATGTGTACACTGTGTAATGATCATCACAATCAAATCAACACATCCATCACTATCCATGCTGAATTATTTACCTGGCCATAAGGATAACATGAGACATTTCTGCCAATTGCAATCTCAACAGTAACTCTTTTTTTTTTATTTTATTTTTCTCCATACCAGTCATCCAATCAATGGTAACTCTTTACTAAGTGAAAATTCCACCAAAATGGGACAAGAGGCAATGTGAAATTTGCCTATTTTATAACTGATGAACCTAGGATGTCTCTTGTGATGACTGTTTCTTCAGCAACACTTTCTCTGAAATGAAAGTGAGAACCTGTATTCTCCAATTTTATGGAGGACCAAATTCAAACTTAGCAGGGTTTCTAAGAATAATTCTGGGCCAACCACTACTCGCCACTCCCACCCCACTGCGCACTGCCCCCTGTGTAAACAGTAGTCTTTAATGCTGAGAGCTTCTTTGTAAGTGATTACGCTGATGGAGGGTGGAACAGCCCTCCAATTAATACTTAAAGACAAACAGCTTTTTATCTTTGATCCTCTCTGTGCCTTCTGCATACATAGCCAAGACCATGTCTCTCCTCCAAAGGCCCAGTTTTGCATCACAGCACTTTCTCAGACTTGATTAACCAGGCTTTTGTCCCTTCTCCTTATATGACAGCTTCCCAATTTCTCCAATTTCAACAGCAGCCCATTTCTGCATACGGTAAATTGCCTCTTCCTGCCATTGAGCACAACAAACATATGGGTGCAAACAGCTTTTCTTCTGCTCTACTATGCTGTCAGCCAAGCTGAGTCAGTTTTATGACATCAGAATCATTTCCACATAACACACCGTTACACAAATTAAAACCACAGGCTCATTCTGATGGCTGTAATCACTAGCCATGGCAACCAAAAATTTTAAAAAGTCTTTTAAAAATAATTGAGTAATGTACTCATATATCTTTATAAAAACATTTTGGGATTTAGAAATATTTCTATGGTTATATCCCTTCCCTGATACATCATTTAAAATTTTTTTCTGATACAGCTGAATTGTGTTTCTCAGCTATTACATGAACCATACTGATAACGGAGCCTTTCTAAATTAGAAAAGAGGTCTTGCCAAGAAGTTTATATTACCTCTGTAATAGCAAAAGAATGGAATGGTCCAGGAAATAATGTAATAATCTCCATGAAACTATTCTGTAACACGATCAAAAAAAAAAATAAAGCAACATATGCCCTCATAGACAGTCAAGCTCCCTCCAAACAATCTTAACTTAATCCTCTGCTCCATCTACATGGGATCTAAACAAGTTCAAGAAGAAGGCAGCAACGAGTCTGATGTAGTCTTTTCTATTAAAAAAGGTGCTCAAGTGGCTGCCATCCACAGAGAGATAACATTTATGGGTATTAACAAAAGAAAGGATTAAAATAATCAATATGAAGTAAAGATAGCAGAGAACAACTCCATTATGTGATCTCAGTCCCTAAAGGCAAGAAATGTAGAATGGATTATGCAAATAAAACAGAGATACAAAGATGGCAGGAAGATGGCCAGGGTGGTCCAATTCCAGTTTCACACAGGTCCTGCCTGCCCAGCCACAGGTCCCTCTCCAATTCTGATTCAATGTGGAGGGACCAGGAGACACGGGGACCCCAATCACCTGAGCTTGGTGTTTTCCAGCAGGAAATACAGGCAGAGGAATTTGTTTCCACGAGGCAAAAGAAAGGCAGAAAACAGAGGCAATTAGAACCAAGGAACTTGGTTCCAGGCAGTGGGCCTCTTGGCAAACCTCCCGTTTTACACAGGGAGAAACTGGGCTAAGGCTGGAGAAGGGACTTCACTGAGGGCACAGACTGGATGGTGGAATCTCAATCTGGATCCAGGGTTCCTGACTCCAAGTCCAGGGCTTTACCATACTGTTTCCATACAGGGCATGGTATCCTAGCACTCCTAGGATCACCTTGAGGTCAGGAGTTTGAGACCAGCCTGAGCAAGAGTGAGACCTTGCCTCTACTAAAACCAAAAAATTAGCCATGTGTGGTGGTGGCACCTGTAGTCTCAGCTACTTGGGAGGTTGAGGCAGGAGGATCACTAGAGCCCAGGAGTCCGAAGTTGCTGTGAGCTAGGCTGATGCCACTGCCTTCTAGGCTGGGCAACAGAGCAAGACTCTATCTCAAAAATAAATAAATAAATAAAATAAAATAATAATAATATCTATTTCATGGGTTTTCAATTTTTTAATGATTTGGCATGGTGATCAGGACAGATGTCCTCATTTTACAAATGAGAAAATGAGACAGTCTGCTCTGTGTCCTGCTTCCTTGTGCCAGTCGTTCTTTCTAACCGATGCTTCTGCCCACTGCCTTTTTGCCTGGTAGATACATCCTACTGGAGAATCCCTATGTAACACACTTCTATTGATAAAAACGGAGAGAAATAGCCAGTTTCAAGTTTTAGGAGGCAGCATCCCCGATGGTATCCAGCCCGCAAACCCCCTTACAGACTTTTCCTTTAAGTGAGTCCCACTGATAGGCTGGTCTCCATGCTTGTCATAAGTGTCCTCCTCCCTGTGTGACTGTGTGTTTTTTTAAAAGAACAACTCATGACATGTCACTCGCTATGGTCTTAAAAAAGGAGATCACCTCTTCCTTCTTAGGATAAGGATGTTCCAGACCTTTCTGCTCATCTTGAAAAATGATCAAACAAAAAACCCCTTGGAAATGGAATGAAAGACCCAGCTCGAATCCTCTCCTCAAAATGCCGCATGGCCAACATCTGGTTATTACTTGATATTTCTGGCTAGAAAATGTTTTATTTATTCAGAAGCAGTTTATGGAAGTAGCAAACTACTGGAAATTTTAAAATAGCTTGCTTATATGAAACGGCCACAGCTGTGCTCCCACATTCCACAGACACACGGCCCACAAATGTGATACATTCGCACAGAAGCCCAGTGAGCAGCCACCGCACACACCCAGATGGCTGATGTGATCAGAGGACACAGGCTCAGGATGACCGCGAGGTTCTCTTTCCCTTTCACTGCTCTGAATGCAGCAAAACTCCAGCCAGAACAGCAAAAGACGCCAAGGGAACAGCCTGCTCCTGCCAGGCCCTGCCCCACCTCCCCATCCTCCTCTCCACGTGCCAACACTGACCTTCCAAACCAGACCTCCCAGTGCACTGCCCTGGGCACCCGGCCGCGAGATCTGGGTAGGAATCAAGGCATCTCAGAGATTTTCAACCCTCCCAATTATCTCAAATTCTCTGACTTGGTTCATCCCATGTTTCGACTTTCTACCTCCATCTGACCAAAGGATAACTCCGCACTGCTGAAGTCAACACCTTTTGAAGGAGAGAGTGGGCAGATGGGAGCAGAGGTGTTGGGATTTTAAACCTAATTTGAAAAGTCAGATTCATATAGATGGGCCTGTTTTGAATACATGGTCCTTAAATGCTGTAAGGGTCTTTAAAAAAATCTGCTTTCTAGAATATATTTGGTCAGAGGTTTATCTTACCATGTTTCCCAGTTTAAGCTAGCATCTGTCCTTTTTCTTTAGAAGATTTAAAGAAAAAAATAAAGAAAAATAATGATGCTTATTACTTTATAGGGCTGCCCCTCTCCTAACAATGCCACTGAGTTGACACAGATCATGGTGGAAGAGTGGGGGTGGAGGGTGCCAGCTCCTTATTGTGACAGACACAGGCTGTCTGCCCAGCCATCCTGGCCACACTGATAGAACCTGGCCGCTGAGCCTTCTTACTAACCACGGTTGAACAGTACATTGGGCCACATTCAGGCACCCAGTACAATTGGCATCTCAGATTGACCAGATACCCTATTTGCCCCAGGGCCGGAACACGTGCTCAAAACAATCTCCCCAGAAAACTGAAGGAAAAAGATATCATACACGAGACTGAAAAGTAACTCTGGCTCAGTGGTGTCACTGGGTTAAATGACTCAAACCCCAGATCCACCTCTCACGGCTATTGAAAGAGCTTGGTGGCTGGTGTTCATGGCATAGTTCCATGGGGTGGTAAGAGCAAGGGGCTCTGTGTGACAATCCTGAAATGCCCCAAACATTGTGTTATTTGGCTCTCTGTATTCCAACTGGTAAGCTGGGAATTCTGTGGCCTAAATGCTTAAGCAGTTGTTACCTGGTTATCTTTTCCCTGACACTGTCCTCTAACTCATTTTCAGTGTCAAGGATGTGGGCATAGTTGGAGGAAAAGGTCTTAGAGAACTAGTCTGTGTTTCTGCCTGGGGAATCCCCTTGGCTTCTGGGCAAACCAGGGGATTGGTTTTGTCTTCTCTCAATATGGTTCCAAACACTGTCTCCTGGTCAGCAGCAGCAGCCTTGCTGACAGCTACCAGGGCCCAGCTTTCCAGAAAGATACTATTGGAGGTAATACAGTGTAAGCAAAATTGTGTCCCAACCAGCTTTGTATGCTATTACTTTAACCCACCAGCACCTAATTATTCTAGACTGGGCTTCTGGTGATGAAGGCTTTCAACATGTGTTCATTAAACCTGGCCCCTGGCTTACCTTGGGATTGGTTCTCTGCTGCAGTCTCCGCTCTTCCCTCTCTCTCTGCAGCCGCTCAAACTCCTCTCGAATTTCAGCGGGGGTTCTCCTCCTTTCCACAACCTACCGGCAGAATCAGAAGGCAAGTGAGGACCCAGGAAGTGAGGGAAATATATACTTTTAAGAAATCAATTCTGATGTGCATATGCTGCCTGCAGTTCTGCTGTGCCCTCTCCCAGGACCCTAAGAGCCATCAGGGGAACTGCAATGAGTTTTTCCATCAGAGGGCTCCAGCCCCGAGTGAGGGGAGGGCTCTGCCACCCACCTGGTCATTCCCAAGGAGGAGCTTTCCCCTGGCTCTCCAGAGTGACTTAAACATTCTATTCTTTACTTTGGTAACTTATCTCTAAGGCTGCAGGGATCATACCAAAAAAACCTTCACTTTAAATCTCATAGTTAAGATTTCCTAATGAGTCACAGATAACAAACATTAAATACCTAAATGAAGGCACACCAGCTCTCCCTAGTGTGCTGGGGGAAGCACTAGGGATTGCTTCTGGGACCAAAGGATCTCAGCCGTCAAGTCTGGGGATTTTAGAACCACGGGACTGTCCCTCCTTCAATAGGATATGAGCCTTAGAAGGTAGGATGCCAGTTACACACTAGAATAACAATACTCAGGCACCAAACAGTGGACCACATTAAACTCAGGGATGCACAATGATGTCAAATCTGAGAAAATAAGGCATTCCAATTTAGCCTTTCTTAGCTCAGCAAGAAAGGAAGACAATCTGGTTGAGATTTCAAAGAGGTGGAAAGAAACATGAGAAAGGAAAGGCTGCCTGGCTTCACATCTGTGAAAGAAGAAACTGCACTGCACAATTTCTAAGGGTCCTGTTGATGGCCACAAAATGTTATGCACCTGTGAGAAACAGAGCATGGAAGCGGGCCAGAAAAAACAATCACTATTTTTCTGTCTATCATAACCAAAGTCATCAGATGGAATGGAGGGTGGGGGGATGGGGGAGGTATATTCCCTGTGTCAGTGTGAGAAATACACATAAGCCTCGAGATGCTGCTCAGAGATTATCTGAAAAGGGGGGAATGTAAGAAAAAGCTACCTTGAAAATTCCAAGTTTTAAAAATTATTTTAAGGCCGGGCGTGGTGGCTCACGCCTGTAACCCTAGCACTCTGGGAGGCTGAGGCAGGTGGATCGTTTGAGCCCAGGAGTTCGAGACCAGCCTGAGCAAGAGCCAGATCCTGTCTCTACTAAAAATAGAAAGAAATTAATTGGCCAACTAAAAATATATAGAAAAAAATTAGCCAGGCATGGTGGCACATGCCTGTAGTCCCAGCTACTCAGGAGGCTGAGGCAGAAGGATTGCTTGAGCCCGGGAGTTTGAGGTTGCTGTGAGCTAGGCTGACACCATGGCACTCTAGCCCAGGAAACAGAGTAAGACTTTGTCTCAAAAAGAAAAAAAAAATTATTTTTAAAAATACATACTTACAGCAAAAAAATCAACAGCACAGAGGGATGTGAAGTAAAAAGTACAAGATTCCTCCTTTACCCACATTCCCTTTTGTCACAGGTTAACATTTTTTGTCTTTTCCTAAAAATCTTCTATGCATGTGTATGTATATATGTATTTTTAAACAAAAATGAGATCATATTATAGCCTTTGTGCAACTTGATTTTATTTTTCAACAATAGCCTACCCAAAAAAACCAGTAGCCTATCCAAAAAAATCTGAGAAATTTGTTCACTACTTTAGGGAGGCAAACAGAAAAAAAATAAAGTTAACATTTTATCCTCTAATAAACCAATATACATCAATAATTACTAAAAGCGGGGAAATGGTTCTTTTTAAGGAAGCTTTTAAATAAGGGGATTGTTAAAATCATCCAAGAACAAACTGAAAGTCCCAAATGGCACGGACAGTGATTACTTTGTGACCTCACAAGAACATAACACGTTCTTCCATTTAACAGATAAAGCAAGTTCACTCTGCCAGGCTCAGAAACATCAATGGCGTGTATACTGTGTACCTTTTCATGGTACTCTCACTTCCTAAGACTACTCTTTTTGGCCTGGACAAAAACAAGGTCCAGTTTTTCAAAATTTTCATCATCTTCTCAATCTATTATTAGCCTCTTCCTTCATCAAATGAAAACAAAAATAAAAGAGCTTCAGGAAAATGTAATCAACTATTCTATTTTACTTTGAAATCCAGAAAAAATGATTTAAAATACTTTAAAAATTGTGAAATCACAACTTATCTGGCCCCTGCTAATGGTGACCTAAGCAACCCATCATCAAGGACAAGGCCTAGGTGTGAGACTGTGAGTCCTCAACATGGCCCACAGTAATAACCTGGATGAAAGATTTCATAATCCAGTATTCTTTCTAATAGGATGCTAGTTTTAAAAATGTAGATTAAAGTCTGAATAGCTATAACTTTAACCAGTGACATAAACAGACCATGAATATGCCCATATACTACTACTTTTTTCAGAAACAGATCTGTAAGATCCTGGGAATTAAAATCCTAGACTTAAATACTGTAGGAAATAAAAAAAAAACCCTGCAAAGTGTCAGGCTCCAAAGAGACGACAGCAGAAAAAAATTTGTTCTCTTTCTTCTTTTTGAGACAGATTCTCACTCTCTTGCCTGGGCTATAGTGCCATGGGGTCAGCCTAGCTCATAGCAACATCAAACTCCTGGGCTCAAGCAATCCTCCTGCCTCAGCCTCCCAGGTAGCTTGGGACTACAGGCATGCACCACCATGCTCGCCTAATTTTTTTCTATTTTCAGTTGTTTGGCTAATTTCTTTCTATTTTTAGTAGAGACAGGGTCTGGCTCTTGCTCAGGCTGGTCTTGAACTCCAAGCAATCCTCCTGCCTTGGCCTCCCAGAGTGCTAGGATTACAGGTGTGAGCCACTGCGCCTGGCCTAAAACATTTGTTTTCAGGAATTCTAGCTGTTTAACCTTTGCAGACTGAACAATAGCTGCAAAATTACTTCCTCTTTGCTACACTCTATGATAGCTATAGAGGCAAATTATCCAAAGGAGCCAGATCATTCCATTTCTAGACATATTTTACACAAGTTTTGCAAACAGTTGGTGCATAATCAGAGCTGCAAAGTCAATTTGCTGGCTCCTCTAGAGCAGTAAAGATGCTCAGCTGGGCAGGGCATTCTCATTCTCAGCTTCCATAGGCCTCTGCCAGCCTTGATTATTTATATCTTTCTTTAAACAGAGTACCTGACACTGGGGAGTGGAACAGGATTAAACCAGTATGAGCTGCTCTTTTCCATCTCAGCAACCCTCAGATAGAAGCATCTGGGAACACAGCATCCCAAGCTGCATTATAGTTGGTAAATACCAGACGTTTCCAATGTTTTCCATGAACAGAGTGTATCACGTGCAGCTTGTGAATCTATACAACTGTATTGTTCACCTGGACCATCTGCCAACTAGGTCTATCCCTGTGCCAGCCAGAAAACTGACTTTATCAAAGAGAGGATAAAGGAGATCTCCAAAAGCTGGGTGGCATAATGGAAATAGGACAGACACTTAGGCTCTCTGCCTCTGACATGACCACTAACCTGGGAGACCTTGGGCAAGTCACTTCACCTCTCTAAGCTTCAGTTTTCCTGCTATAAAATGAGGAGGGTTAAACTACACCATTTCCAAGGCATTGTCCAGTTTGGAAATCCTATGATTCTAGCTAGTCAACTTTTTATTTTGGAATAATTTTAGAAAATTATTTAGAACTTTAGAAAAGCTGCAAAGATAGTACAGAAAGTTCTAGTATGCCCTACACCCAGCTTCAGCTAATGTGAACATCTTCCATGACAATGAAACATCGGTCAAATCCAAGAAACAAATCCAAGTATATTAGTACACTTCTATTAATTAAACCTAGACTTTTCAGATTTCACTAGTTTTTCCACTAACATTTTTTTTCTGTTCCATATCCAATCCAAGATACCACACTGCCTTTAGTCATGTCTCTTTAGTCTCTTCTGCTCTGTGACAGCTCTAAGTCTTTCCTAATTTTTCATAATCTTGGCCATATTATTGTAATAGAGATCGACTTTCTCAAGTACTCTAAGGCTAATGTCAAAGAGAGAGGGAAAAATGAAATATGGATGATATAAAGGATTACAGACAAAAACTAAACTGCAGAGGATCCAGGCTAAGGCACGCAATTCTAAATGTACACTAACATCCGAAAGTGGTATCTGTAGGAGATCTGAGTTATGTGGTTTCCATCCCACTTGCCAGACTCAGTACTGTCAAAGCACTGACAGTACAAAGCTGGATTTTC